AATAATGGCAAAAATTTCGTCTTGTTTTGGTTGACTCATCACTGGAGTTTGAAAATTTTTCGAAGTCCTTCATCTCTAATTTACACATTTTTAGCAAAAATTGTATGAAAACTATTGGTTTTAGATTCAAACGCATGCAAACGTTTCTAGCTTAACCAGATAACGTATTATTAAAATATGTACTGCTAATACGAATCCAGTATTTAACTACAAGAGTAGAAATTTGAACAATCAAAGGAACCTTTCCTAATTCGGCATAAATAGTCAAATTTGTTGTTTTTGAGTGCACGCCAAGAATTCGTTTGCAGAATTTTAAATGAATTCTTTCAATTTCATTGATAATTTTTGATGAATGCGGGTATACCATGTCTTTAAGTTTCGACCAATGGCGTTATCTTTAACTGTTACGAGCTGGGACTTATAATCCATTATCAATTACTTCTGCAAACGATTTTTTTGAAAGCAATACGAAAATTTTTGTTCATCACACCATAAATTAACGGATTAAGAGATGCGTTTGCAATTGCCAGTAATAACGATGCCGATACAAATTCACTAGGGAGACTGAAAATGTCGAATGCCAACGAATAAAATACGATACAATATGGCGTCCACAGTATCAGAAACACGACAACGATAGCTATTGTAAGAAGCGACGCCCGATGTTCTTTACAAAAACCAATATTATTGCGTGGTGTAGCAGCTGCGTGTTCCGACACAAACCGTCTACTTTTCAAGACTGCTCTTATAATGAGTACATTACAGCAGATGAGAATCAGTACAGGTAACAAATAGCAAAGGGGAAGCACCATGAACGCCAATTTTTTGTTGTTCTCCAGGTCACCAATACAATGATAAAACTTTTCAATGTAAACGTAGCCAGCTGTAAGAAAAACGATCCCACATTGAATGGTGACGAAAATCCAAATAACCAAAAGACCTATTTTAACAGCCCTTTTGCTAAAAATAAATCTATGTTTCAGGGGATAGTTCGTGGCAAAAAATCTCTCGAAACTTATAAATACCAGAGTATAAATTGAAACGCTGCACAACAGTTGAGCTGTTACGCCCGCCAAAACACATAGGCCGCTGGATTTGATTGACTTGTTTTCAGCCCACATGGGTATGGTCACTGGAACGGTGATGAGAGAAAACAACAAATCCGTTACGCTCAAGTTAAGAATGATCAAATTCGAGATTGTTCGTAAACTACGAAATTGGTAGATGGCACACACGACGAGAATGTTTCCTATACTGGCCATTACTATTAAAAACACCGAGATCACCTGCCGAACAGTCGATTCAAAATCAAAGTTTGCATCAGACTCAAATGACGTGTTTAAGTAGTTTAATGCCATGATGCGGACTATCTTCTCGACAGAAGAGACAAAGTTCACCTAAAATCGGAGCGTCTGGACTAAAATACTCTTTGGTGCACTTGGTCTATAAGAGCTCACGAGACATTTGATGTATACAAATGATTGTGAGATGTTTAAGCTAGCAATTTTACCCATCTTAATTAAAACATCCAGCGCATACATATCATATTACTGTTATTATATTCATGACAATATTCTGCGGAAATGAAAAAAAAACACAACGCGGCAGCTGTTCGGAGTTTATATAGTTTACAAATAGCGAGATATTTTCATTGACATATCTCAAGCGATCAATAACTGACGATCAAACAATAGAAAATTGACATTGCGTGGTTAGGTAGTATGTGTATTATTGTTTCAACACTGCAAGAAGAGAAAATTGCACAAATAATAATGCCCAATTTCGCATGGATTCTCACTTTAAATAGAGTGATTCGCTTGAATGTTATCATCACAGTAAATTTCAAGGAGTTGAATAAACTCCAAAAGCGTTATCCTACTGTTAATTTCAAGGAGTAGATATTTCGTCAAAAAAGGAGTAAAAAAGGTAGCCTACCGGTCGACTCTGTTTTGGGAGTACTCCAACATTTTAACTCCATTTTTAGAGTACTTTCTACCTACTATTAGATCAGTGTTTCTACCTCGCTAATGGAGTAATATTTACTCCAACAGGAGTAATAAACACTTTAATTTAAAATTTTATGCTCATTTTGGAGTCAAAAATATACCAAAAGCGGAGTAATATTTACCCTAACAGGAGTAATAAATACTCTAGTTTAAAATTTTACTCGCATTTTGGAGTCCAAAATGTACCAAAAGTGGAGTGAATTGTATTCCCTATGGGATGAAAAATACTCTAATTTAAAATTTTATGCTCATTTTGGAGTCCAAAATATACCAAAAGTGGCGTAATATTGGCCCCACAGGAGTACTAAATACTCTACTTTAAAATTTTAAGCTCATTTTGGAGTTAAAAACATATACCAAAAGTGGAGTAAATTTTATTCCTTATGAGTTATGGGGGTCTAAATTACTCTAAAAATATGCACAAATAGTAAAATTGCAATGAATAAAGGAAGAAAATTTTAATTAACATAACACTTTGATCATAAGTACAAGGATTATATATGTTTTTGCCCTTTTACGCTTACCTTGGCTCCAGAGGCTCTTTGGGGGGCGAAAGAAATGAGAGGAGAGAAGGAAGAGCCTCTGGTCACATCGGTTGCAAATCCCATTTCCATACTTGATTAGGTTCAGAATTTGAATCTCGTATGTAATTGGCCATTTTGTAAAAAATATGTCAAACCGGTATGGGAAATAAATTAGCTTACAGTAATGTTTATTTCCCAATTTTCTCATTGTACTCCTTATGAGAGTTGAATTGACTCTCAGAAATGCATTACTTACTCCGGTATAATAATAATACATTAAGTTTATTTCGCATGATCTATTTACATGCAGGTATTGCAGCATTTATCTAAAATCTATAAAACTAGTGTATATAAGAATGGTCAGAAATGACCTAAAGTATCTATAAGAATGGTCGGAAATGACCTAAAGTTAGGATCTATATATAATAGTGGTCAGAAATGACCTAAAGTATTTATAATAGTGATACTTTACTTTATAATATGTTTACTCCTTTTTTGGAGTGAAAATAAAGGAGTAAATATACAATAATTACTCTGATATGTCTATCCCTTTTAAAGAGTATACATTTTATTCCTTTATGAGTGTTGGATTGACTCCTAAAGCAGTAAGATTGGGGTTAAACCTGCTCCTGGAGTAGAAATAAAGGAGTAAAAAGTAATCGAATATTTGTACATTTTATCCCTGCAATGGAGTAATATTTACTCTTAGCAGAGTAAAAGTTTTAATATGATACTGAAGTGGAGTAGTTTTAACTCTGGTTTTGAAGTGAAATATACTGTATTTTTTTTACTCCCCAAAAGGGAGTTATTTCAACTCTTACGGTGGAGTTAAAATTACTCCATAGAATTAACAGTGTAGGTTTCCGCCTGTATTAACACGGGATAAATAAATAATTGACCCTTCTTGATTTAGCGAGGACAATCCAGAACTGGCAGGGCTTTCTAGTCAATATAATATTAGTTTAGCGAAACTTGTACAGTTTAAGTGAATGTGGTATATTTTTATTTCTCAGAGTAAATTAATATCCTTTTTTGCCAATATATACTTATTTTGATTTCATCTCTTCCAGCGGTGAAATGCAGTTCGTTCCCATGTCATTCCAAGGCGATATGCGAGGATACTGAAACCTCACATACATGTTCTTGTCCATCCGGGTATACTGGAGATGGGGCGAACAATTGTTTTGGTGAGTGACATTATAAAACTTATCATAAATTAACTTGGTATGGTGTTTTTCTTCATTCGACTAAACGTCGATTTGACTATATTCTATAATATAACCACCGTTTTCAATCTGCTGTTTAATTTAACTTGTTGTTTCGTGTTTGGATCAGAGATAGGACTTGTATCCATTTGTCAACTTCATTATATTATAACATAATTATTGGAAGTATAAGTAGCTCTTGGACATTATACCATAAGGAATATCTAATCCTTATTTAGCCTACAAAGAACTCCCTAAAGCCCCGTTTACACGAGCAAATTTTATTTGACAAATTTCATATGTCAAAGATATTTTGCTCGTGTAGATGATACATTTGTGACAAATTTATTGTGACAAATGCATTTGAACAAAAGCTAGCATGCTAGCTTTTGATCAAATGCATTTGTCACATTAAATTTGTCATATAAAATTTGCTCGTGTAAACGGGGCTTAAATGAAGCTTCATTAATAAATTGATAACAGTCTGAATCGTAGTCCACTGGAGATGACCGTGCAGAGATGATAACTTGTAACGAAAAAATCTAAAATCTAACTCGACGAAAAAATTGTCCCGTCAGTTGCTAATATAATCGCCCTCACCTCTCAAGTGCCAGAAACTGATTACGCCATATTCATCAATAATTTGCAGCATGTCTCATGATCATAAATGGCGATCGATGGATCACATGCTAGCCATTTTGGAAATAAGTACGTTGTTACCACTGACCTATACTATGTCGATTAAGTAAAGGTCAGTGGTTGTTACGCCATATTTCGTGATTGGCGAAATGATAAAGCGAGGACATGCATGAACTTCAAAAGTCCCGACTCGAATATTGTGCGTGAGGCTGTGACTGTACAGGGTGTATAAAAAAAAGGTAATCGAACTTTAGCGCGCTATTATACGTGAATCACTCAGCGTATGAACAATTTGTTTTCATATTTGGAAAGATCAAGCTTTTAGCTATTGAATGACATGCTTTTCATACCAAGTGAAGAAAAAATAAGCATGTACGAGGCCGATAAAAAATGTTAGTCAAAATCGCATATTTTCACCTCCGTGCCTAATTAAAACAATGCATAACAAAAGAAAAAGCAATTAATCACGAACGGGTCGTAGCTTAGCTAAGATTTATTCCTACTTAATAATAATTATGAATATGTGCGTAGTTCAATGAAGTGAAATTCATCAACTTAAGTACCAAAGGTGGTTCATTTCCAATGGTCAGTTTAGACCCAACTCTAGCTCAACGGTGAAAATATGCGATTCTGACTAACATTTTTTATCGGATTCGTATTTGCTCATTTTTTATTCATTTGGCATGAAGAAGATATCATTCAACAGCTAAAAGCATGATCTTTCCGAATGTGAAAAAATCTCGTTCATACGCAGAGTAATTCAGATACAATAGCGCGTTGAAGTTCGATTACCTTTTTTTATACACCCTGTATATTAATTATATACCTTTTTGCAAACACATTTAATTTCCTACAATATATTGCTTTGCAGACATTAATGAATGCCAGAATCCTGATATTTGTAAAGCAGGAGATAAATGCCAGAACAAGGAAGGATTTTATACTTGCACGCCAGGTAAAGTACACTTTATATTACACATAGATATCTTATATATACTAGATATACAGTATAGTGCAATTCAAAAATTGAAGCCGTGATTGCAGACTCAGGATATTCCCATGAAATGAGAAGATTCGCATGTTTTCTATTTCTTAAACTGGGAACTTAAACATTAAGTCAAACCTATTCCAAATACATTTTTAACTATTCAAATTATGAAAGTTATTGTTGCTTTTTAAGCGTTTATAAGTGAGTGGGAACTACCAACATGGCCGCCATCTATTCAAATGGGGGAAACCGCTGGAATATTCTTGGCTTCAATTTTACTAAAAGAGATGCGCTATCTAGTGTATATAAGATATCTATATGCATAAAATACAAAGCAATTA